TTTTTGAGGTGCAGGAGGTGGCGAGCATGGTCACCTCATGGCTGCTGCTATGTTGCAATATTTTCAGGGAGGACTTATTTTTTTTTGGGAAGGCTTATTTTAGCGCATGCGCTCAAAAGCCCGAGTGGGCTTATTATCTGGGAAAGTCTTATTTTGAGGGAAACAGGGTAGTTTCTTCACATCTAAACATAGAGTTCCAGCACAATATCATGAAAGTATTAGAAAAAAACAATAACATACTACTTTTTTTTCATTTTGGCCTTATTGCACAGCAATATGCCCTGAAAGTATATACAGTAAATGAAGACAATTTATATCCCAAACATTGTTAGATTTTTATCTATCATACCATGTATTGGTATGGCAGAGTATTCTAATTAGTAGTTGCAAGAAGCCAAAACTCTTAGCTGTAATCTTATCACCAAACTAAACTATCTAAACAATATCATTGATATTATACATAGACTTGGATCCCTTGAAAAAGTCTTCATTGCTTGGAAAGATGGATGGGAAAAAAGAGATGGCCAACAACAAGGTAGATGGTCTCAATTATTGAAGGATGAACCATTAACAAACCTGAAGGGTCAACCTGGAGACAGATTATCTGAAGATCTGTACAGTAGTTGCTGAGGGTACAATTCACTTTATGACATGGAGATTGATAGGATCTACCTTTCTCAAGATCTTCATTAGAGTACAGCTCTTAAAATTATTTTTTCTAAGAAGACTATGCAGTTAAAAGTTCCAGGATTGACAAAGGTGGTGTTGGGTACATTATACATTACCTTCTAGAGTTTCATTATAGTGCTGACTTGCACACAGCTTCTCTTGTAAATTTGTAAGGTTGATTCATAACAATGCAGAGAAGAAATTATAGCTACACTTAGCAACTCACCAAATGTAAACAGTAGTACTTAATACTAATATACACATACCAGTACTACTAAGTAACATAAAAGTGTCATTGCCTATGACTTTTAAAAGAATAGTGTGTGTGTGTGAGAGAGAAAATAACTGAAATAGTTACCAAACATGAGATCAGTAAAAAAGGCAAACTCCTTCTAAGTTGATCTCTTGACAACATCTCACAACTGCCCAACTGTCAAAACAACAGAATCTTGGAATACTCAGGAGAAGCCTTCTAGGTTGCTTTAAAGGTAAGTCACCTTGCATGCCAATAGCACAGATGTCTAGTCTAGCCAAGATCTTTGTTCATGTGCTTATGAGTAATAGTGAAATCTTTTCAATGTGCTTGAAAGATTGTAGGAAGTAGAGCTCACATCAAAGAAGAAAATATGAAACATATCTTTCCCTGCAGTCAGAGCACTTCAGATAAGAATATGAATATTAACTGATACAGAGTTCCTTACTTTGAATTTAAATGCTTGTTGTAGAATTCTGCAGTTTCCAAAAGGATGTACTGATGTAGTTAAAAGCTTGAAAAAAAATCAGACAATTTTAAAGTAGTTGTAGCTTTGTCACCCACATATGTATATGTATGGGAATCTTTCCATTGTAAAAGTTAATATGCCACCTCTAGTTTGTGGGGGACAACATTCCCCTGCCTCAATTTTGATTCATCTGGAATGCATTATTAGTCGCACACTTCAAAGAGCCCCAGGAAATATGAGAGGCAACAAGCTTTTTATATTTACAGAAGATACAAATTTCCAAAACTTAAGACATACAAATCGAAAATCATCTGATGTTTCAGTTATTTGCAAGTGTGCATTAAGAACATGGGCTAAAATACTCCTTTAGTTCTGTTTTGAAAACAGCTTTAATTAATTCAAAATCGTATTTCTGGATCAGCATTTGGCACAAAGGAGAATAAAGAGGCCACTACCTGTTTAGTTTCTGAATGGCCTTGCGCAGTGAGCACTGTTGTGAAGCTTCAGAATGGTGGTAGGTTATTTGGCCAATACTTTGCTGAGTTTCTGCTCCCCTCCCCTTACCAATTTAGATATGCAAGAACTATCAGGATAAAACATCAGTACATATAAAAAGCTACCAAAATATATATTTATTTTGTGTCCGAATGAAACGGTTCATCTTTTTAAAAAGACACACTTTTGAGCTGAATTCACAAAACCTTTGTACCTTTTCCCATTGCTATATTATTACTTTGGATGGACATATGCATTATTTACTTGGGAGGAGTTCTTATTTTTCTGCTTCTGGTATGCAGAGATACATAAAAATCTTCTGCCTGATAATAGGCTTTCGGGTCAGCTGAAGCAAGGAAGCAAGAATATGCCAATGTATTTCTTCAGTAAAAAAATCATACCTAGCAATATTTTAGTATAAAATTTTGGAAAGCCATAGGCAAATTTCACTACCGTCAGTTATCTGCTTGGATTCCAGTGTCCCCAGAACAGACACAAGTGATCAAAGCCTTCCTGAATTTAGAATTCTCTCTTTTATACATGGAAGGATGTGAGATCCATCAGATATTTTCCTCGCAGATTTATGCACCATTTCTCACACACGCCCCAACTTCCTATGATATAAAATAATTTTCCTCTACTTTACAATTTTTCTGTTACTTTTCTCACCTGCTTCCTAGGTTTTGATCAATAATTCAGCCTGATAAAGACACTGTGAAATTTGGAACATTGTCCTTAGTTACATGATATTTTGATTGTTTCAGCAAAGGCTCAATAGTTCATTGTTTTTTCCCTTCTGATTAACTTCATCTGGGCACTTCCACAGCGCTTTATCCCACCCCAGTTACTGCCAGATATAGAAACAAAATCCAACTCCAGAGAAAAAGGAAGGAAGATAAATTCCTACAGCCTGCACCCATCAATGTCTTTTGGTAAAGTACAGTATTGGTGTGCATGTTTTTGGTTGTATGCAAAAACAGGAGAAGCTTGAAGAGGAAAGAAAGATTGTAAAGGTTTCCTTGCCACCTAACAATATTCCTCTATCCATTTGAGTGGGAAGGTAAAATGCTAGCATTCTGATAATTTTGCAATTAAGTGCTTTTTCTTATAATTGTATCCATGGGATGGGGAAAGACAGATATGTTTAAACAATGCATACAGGAAGAGACATAACCCATAAACAGGATCCTGAAGGGAGGGGAAGGGGAGAGGGAAGGGAATAATGGCTAGCTTGATCCAGGAGAAAGGGTGAGGCAAGCATTGCCATCAATGGAAAAATAGACTATTGAGAAGTCTGTAAAGCTGTAGAGATCAACTCTTTATGGTTTCCACTAAATCAGGCAGTGGCGGCTGGAGTCTTCTCGCACCAAAAAAGAGGTGGCGGCTGTAGGCTTTTTGCACTGAAAACTACAGGCCGAAAGAGAGGCCTGAAGTCGTCACCGCTGTTGCTGCCCTGTTCTTCGCGCTGGCTGCACATGCACATCCTATTGCCTTCTGGTGCGCAACTGCACAGACCAGGCCAGGAGAATGGCCTGCTGAACCAGAGGGACGGTGTCACAGCAGAGTTGTTCGGAAGGCAGCCGGACTGCGATGTCCCTTTAAGGTACTTTGACGTGGGCGGAAGTGGGGGGGCATAAAGGGACAGGCCGCAGGAGCTGCCTTTTCTGCTGGTTCTGTGGCTGTGGCTTGGTGGGCATGGCTTGGTTGGGGTGGGGTCATGTGACTGAGTGGGTGTGGCCAACTCAGTGTCATTCACAGCAAGGTGCTACCCCACCTTGCCGTGAGTGATGAGTTGGCCATGCTCACTTAGTCACATGACCCCCACCAAGCCATACCACCAAGCCACGCCCACAAAACCGGTAGTAAACAAAATTGAATCCCACCACTGTCCCTTTCCCTCTCGTTTGGAAACCATTTGTGAATGCATGTCTATGGAAAAGAATAAAGCGTCTGTACAAAGAAACCCCAAGGTTTAGATTAATTATATAAATATTGGAGGAGTTTAAGCCATTGTCTTCTTAGGTCTGCTTTTGTAGCTGAAGGACTTTTTCAAAGATAAATGTACATAATTTTCCATGCTTCTTGTCTCCCATTAGGTTGGTTAAGGTTGGCAGTCCCCTTTATAGATCATTGAGATAATCCTGATCAGCATATATCATAAAGCCAGTAAAAATGCTATCTGTCCAGTAGGGATCATAGAACAGCCCATTCTGTTCCGAGTAAAATATCTGCAGCCACACCTCATCCTTCTGCTTTAGGGAAAGGATTGTCGATCCAGAAGCAATGTCATGATTCCCGGTGTTGGCATCAAATGTCTTTATCTTGTACTGACCATTACACACCAGCCCAATAGCCAAGTGTTTATTGGCCAGTGTGATATCATAAGTGAAATAATAGACACCGGGGATGTTGCATATAAATTTCCCGCTGGAAGCATTGTAATTTCCACCTTCATTCATGAGGATCCTGTCAAATTTGATGGGCAGTCTCTCTTTTGGGTAACTTTTGGTCACAGCAACAGAGAAAGCTGATTTGGCTTTCTTGGCGTTGCATTTACAAGGACCAGACATCCCAAGGTCTCCTAGGGCTCCTCGGGGCCCTTTCTTTCCAGGGCCCCCGCTTTTTCCAGTGGGGCCCTTGGGCCCTTTTAGACCACGGAGACCAGCTTTGCCAATGGCTCCTGGTTTCCCTTTTGATCCTGGCCGGCCTGGATTTCCTGTCCTGCCTTGGGTACCTACGAGAAAACACAACCTCAATGAGTATCACACAAGGGACTCATGGATCTTTTGGACATAGCAACCAGAGGACCAAAACTGTTTCTGCAACCCAGGAAGCATTAAAAAAAAAGGTCTGTCTATTGGGAGGTTTTGAATTGCATTATTTTATGGGAGCAGTATCCCCATTTCTTTTGTCCTGGTCATTCCATTAGAAAACGTGGAGAAAATATATTCTCTTCTAGATAGGTACTTGAAAGAAAAAAAAGGGGGGAAATGGATTCTCGCATCCTGCAAAGCTACAATAGAGTTTGTTTTGTTCTGGGCTTGCCATGATAGCTAAGCTATTACCGAATGTATAAATGAAACCACTGCAGCTTGATGAACAAACCACGGTTTAAAAATTCTGGCTTATTGTTCTGTGGGATTGGAATCAATATGTTTAATACGAATTCTTTTTTGTAATCTACTGTCTCAAACAAAGCCAGAAGTCATTACTTTTTTCCTTCTCTCTTTGTACTTTTGTTTTTTCCTTTGATTTTATAATGGAATTTAGTAAAAAAAAAAAAAAAGTAGAATCTCTCTAGCAGAAAAATACAACATAAGAAGCAGTAACTGTTTGCTAAAACTCCCAATTGAATTATTGCTCATATTTGCAGTTATTACTCCCTGTTTGTATGCTAATTAGGGGTTGGACCAGCATTTTGGCGCAAATGGAAGGATCCCAAGTGAAATTGCATTCAACAATTTCCACTCTCTGAAAGGGGGTGGGGTGGGAAATTCTTCTTGCCAATTCTTCTGCTTTCCACACCCTCATTTTTTTGAATCCTTCTGGAGAATAATTTTTAGGAGGAAGAATGTAATTTGTGAAAATCTAGTATAAGTACAACACTCAATGGATTTCAAAGTCCCTTCTAAGCTCCTTCTAACAAGCAGGCCAGCTTGTTAGAAGGAGCACCATGTTAATTTACAATATGATAGCTGAAAATCAGGAGGAGTCTGATCTTTTCCGAGAAACAATTTTTTATTAAAAAGCGTACACTTTTAATAAAGATTACATGTGGCCCTTTTGGAAACAAACAAATTTTGCCAACACAGTTGAGTGAGAGATTGCTGAATCTACACCAAAAGGTTTTAAGTTTTCTCAGAAGGTCTCAATAAAAACAAATATTACACTTGTTCATTGGTAAATGAGCTGTAATTTGTCCTGCATGTAAGCTGTATTTCCATAAACATCCTGTTTTCCCCATCTTGTTCCAATTTAAATCCTATATTAAACTCATAAATCATTTGAGGGCCAGTTTAAGTGGTGGTTAAGGCACCTGACTAGAAACTGAGAGACTGTGAGTTCTAGTTCCGCCACAGGCATGAAAACTGGCTGAGTGACTTTGGGCCAGTCACTCTCTCTTAGCCCATGACGTCAGCGGTGGTGGTAAGCCAGTAGTTTAATTTCTGTTGCAATCAAAGGATCAACACTTGGTTGATCTGAAAAAAGTAGACCCTGCACTTACAGAAAAACACTAGGATGAAAAAATATATATTCCAGTTTTAATCCTTCATCAGTCCAGTTGTTCTGTGCATCTGATAAAGTGAACTACAGCTGACAAAAACATAGGCATTATAACATTTGATAGTCCGAAAAGCTGCAAAAAGGCTGCTCCTGATTTTTGTTAATGGGTAGGAGTCCTGCTGGCAGGAAGTTTATGTTCCATCTAACCAAGAGTTAGATAGTTTCTATTTATAAACAAAGTCAGCCAGACAACACAATTACAGCCCAATTTGGCCTCATTATTCCAGACATAATCCTCTATATCATCCCCGAGAAGGCCTAGGAGCCAGAAGGAATATTAATATCTGTGTCCTTTCAGTTTCATTTATTTTATACTGTATTGGGTTTTCCCCCCCAAAAAACATGAACTGAACTATCTAAAGCCGGCCCAACCTGTCCAACTGATAAAAAGCTTTGTAAAAATACAGAGCACCCAAAAAGCCTTCTTTGGTCATTTTGTCTCCCTCCCTCAAAGATATACCTGGACAGGCTGTTTTTACTTGCTGTTTAAAGGTAAGGAGTTATCTTACCGTTTACCATCCTACCACTCATCTCATTTCTGATGGAAATATAGAATAGACCAGGAGTGTCAAACTCAATTTCATTGAGGGCTGCATCAGGGTTGTCTTTGACTTTCTAGGGTGTGGCATTGTGGGCGTAGCCAGATTAGGCGTGGCTTGACATCGCTCGTGTCGGGGGTGCCTGTGGTGGCCCGAGCACTCTGCCAGTGAAAACAGACTCCTGAGCTCTGTTTTCTGCTGCGATGGCCTCCTGCAACCCTCTGCCAGCATAAAGGGGGCTCGGGAGGGATGCCTGTGGCCCTCTTGAGCTCCACTTTCGCTGGCAGAAGCACCACGGGGCCAGTCATTTGCTCTTTCCAGGGCGGCCTCACAGGCCAGATCTAAGCACGCAGAGGGCCTTATCTGGCCGCCCTGGGCCTTGAGTTTGACACTCCTGGAATAGACCATTCGTCAATGATATCTATGTTTTATAGTCAGGGGATCCCACAATGTGCTTAAATATGAAATGCAAACTCATGTGTAAACAAGCCATTATGGTTTATAAAAGGGGTTAATCCCTGTTAAAGCTTGAATTAGTATGTTAATGCTAATTAACATGCTAATTCAAGCCAATAGTTCATTGTGCAACCTATAATTGGTGAATGTAACCTGTCATGTGGAGGACCATATCACACTTTTCATAATAGTCACATGGTTCCCAAAATGAGCAGGTTCAAAACCTGCTTTGGGAAAGAGTTTTTTTTAAAAAAACACATGATATATGCCTTAAACCAGCAGTTCCCAACATTTCTGGCTTTGTGGACTGGTGGTGGTGGCAGGAGAGAGGATGAACCCACTTCATTTGTGCAAATGGAGCTTTATGTGTGCACGTGCTTGCCTGCTGCTTGTGCAAGTGGAGCTGTGCTCGCAGTTGGGGATCCTTGCTTTAAACAACTATAAATCTGGGGGAAAAACATTTTGCTATTAAACTCCACTCCCCAAAAATCTAAAGTTTCAGCCCCAGCTGCTCTGGGACGTTTTGGGATACCATAAAAGAGTATCGCTGGTGGGCTGTACGAAGCCTCTAAATGACATTTGTTGCACCTCTATCATAAGTTATGATTATGGACTTCTGAAATATTAAACTCCACTAAGATGCCATAACTAAGACTTCGGTTGTTAAAATATATTTAAAATATATTTTTAACATTCTTTCTTAATTTGATTTTGGAGAGAGCTACTAGGTAGGAAAGTCTTATGAAAGAAAATGGACTGAGTACTGTAATGGCTAATTTAGCTTTTCCCATTCTTTTTTGGATTCCTTCTGAGGTAGAAAAATATCTTGAAAAAGAAGCCATCTCTTACCTTCATCCCCTGGCTCTCCTCTCTGTCCATCTTCTCCATCTTTTCCATCTTTTCCTGGCAAACCCATCCTTCCTATATTCCCAGGAGGACCTGGTGCTCCGGGAGCACCTGGAGGGCCTTGTGGCCCTAGCACACTGCAGATTACTTGCTTGGAATTTTTCTGAACTTCTGCTTTGGCAAAGCTACTGAGAAATTGATTAACTATACAGGGAGCAATCCAGGCAACCAGAAAAAGGAAGATCATGGTGATGCCTGCAAGAAATGAAACAGAAGCAACAATGGGTGCATGTTGCAAGAAACATCTAGGGCTGGCAGGAGCATTACAGGAGTGGAACATGTTACGTAATTAACATTTAAGGTGGGGGTCCGAGGAACTAGGAATGCATCCTAAAATCTTTTCAGAAGGGTGGTTTTGATAAACTGCTGCAGAAAGCACACACACACACACACACACACACACACACACACACACAAGGACTCTTGGCATTTCAGGATTATC